ACTATTTTTGTATATGGACTCAAAAAAATATGTCTCCTTGAAACTTTGGCCATCTGATACTAGTTTGATATGTGGAACACATACTTCTTTATATGATAGCTTTCAAATATTTGAAGATAATTTGAATATTTTTATTTAGTCTGTACTTAATTACTCTACACATTTCTGGTTATTTCAGCAGTCCCTTATTGTCAGGATTTCTAGACCCTTTTCATTCTGGAAATTTTTTTCCTAGTACACTGTATAGTCAGTGACCTCTTAAAAAGTGGCATCCAGAATTGTATTGAGTAAATTTTTATGGGGGGCTCGTTATGTGCTAGGTGCTGTCCTATGTGCTGGGAATAGCACAGTGACCAAGACAGATGTTCTGGTAGGGGACACAGACCATAGACGGAAAAAAAAAATAAAATTAAAATATAAATATTATAGATTATAATTAATTCTGTGGAGAAAAGAAACAGTGTTTGTGATAGTTGGTAATGGGTCCGAGTGGCTATTTTAGATGGGGTGGTCATCTGAAGAATCAGAAGCAGCTGATTGTGAGAAGAGGCTAGAGAGAAGTGTTCCAGGCAGAAGAATAGGAAATTAAAGGCCCAGAGTTGGGGAAAAAACATTGGTATGTCCTAAGAATTCATGGAAGGCCAGTGTGGCTCAGAAGCAAAGTGATCAAGTGACAGAATGGCAAGAGATGAAGTTGGAGGAGAAAGCAGGGGCCAGCAACTGCAGGCTCACTTAGGCCTAGGCAAGGAATTTGTATTTTATTCTAAATGTAATGGGATCCATTGAATGTAAGACTGAGAACGAAATGAAAACCAAGAAACAAAGAAAAACAAACCAACCCACACAAACCAGAGGTTAGACATGCAGCTCAGTGTTGACTTTTACTCTGCAAAACTACATTCTGTCCTTACACAAAAAGATTTTCAGAATCTTCTGCTTCGAACGCCTTCAGATTCAGTTTATACTGAACGCACTTATGTTATAAACGCAACAATACATGGTTATTATTTTTGCTTAAACAGCGAATCATCTTTTAAAGAGATTTAAGTAATAATAATGAAAAATCTATTTGCCCCTGTACTTAACCATGCACGTCCAAGGTTCTTCTTTTCCTTTGTGCCGATCCAGATTTTCATTCGATACCATTTCCTTCTGCCCGAAGGGCTTCCTTTAACATTTCTTGTAGAGCAGGTCTGCTGGCGAGGCAGCCTTTCTGCTTTTCTATGTCTGAAAACATCTTCATGTCACTTTCTCTTTTGAAAAATATATTCGCTGGATGCAGAACTCTGGATTGACAGGTTTCTCTTTCAGTACTGAAAGATGTTGCTCTGTTGTCCACCCATTTGCATTGTTTCTGACGGGGAATCTGCTAACATTTTCATTTCTCTGTTTGTAAAGTGTCTTTTTTTTTTTTCCTGGCTGCTTTTAAGATTTTCTCTTTGTCGTTGGTTTTGAGCAATTCTACTATAGTTGTCTTGGTGGAATTTTCTTTATGTTCTTGTTCTTGGGGTCTGTTAAGCTTCTTGGATCTGTAGGTTTCAGTTTTCATCAGGTTCGGGTAATCATGATTTCTTCAAATATTTTTTCTGTCTCTCCCCTGTTTCAGAGACTCCAGTTACACAAATATTAAACCTCCTGGTGTTGTCCCACAGCTAACTGATGCTTTTCTCATATTTTAAAAATTGTTTTTCTCTCCATTTCATTTTGGATAGTTTCTATTGGCTGTGTCTTCACGTTCATTAATCTTTTCTTCTGAAATGTCTCATCAGCTGATGATCTCACCCAGTGTAGTTTTCATCTCTGATGTTTTTATCTCTAAAGTTTCGTTTTTTTTTTTTTAATATTGTCTGTGTCTTTATTTAACCCTTTGAACACTTAAAATACAGTTATCATGGTTGTTTTAATGTTCCGTTTCGTTAATTATAATATTGTGTCAACTCTAGGTCTATTTTAATTAATTATTTCTCTAATTATGGGTCATGTTTTCCCCTTTCTAATCTTTGGTTGGATGCCAGACATTGTGAATTTTGCCTTTTTGGGTGCTGGATATTTTTGTATTCCTCTAAATATTCTGAGCTTTATTCTGGGATGCAGTTAAGTTACTTGGGAACAGTCTGATCCTTTCAGGTCTCGCCTTTATGATTTGTTAGGTGGTTCTGAAGCAGTGCTGATCTGGGGCTAATTATTTTTCACTACTGAGCACTCTACCCAGGCCCCGTGAGTTTTTCCTCCAGTCTTTTTTGTGAGAATAGGCACTGTTCTAGGCCCTTTATGAGTACTGAGCACTAATCCCTCTAATCCTTTTGGACTGTTCTTTCCCTTACCTCAGGAATTTTCTCACAAATTTATGTTAATACTACTAGAAGGGGACCCTCTGCGGATCTCTGGGTTCTCTTTGACACTTTGTGCATCTCAGTCCTCTCTGACACTTTGCCCTGTGCTCTGTATAGCTGCATTGATTTCCTTGGGCTCTCAGCTTTGTTTCCTGAACTCGGGGAGTCTGCTGGGCTCTTTCTTTGTTCCAACCCCGACTACAGCCTGGAAACTCTCAAGGCAGAAACCTGTGGGCATTTGTAAGACTCATCTTGCTTATACCCTGTCTCTTAGGGATTGCTTTCTTTAAATACCTGGAATTCAGTGCCTTGAAAACCATTTTCCATCTATTTCTTTTGCTTTTTTGGTTGTTTCAGATCGAAGGGCAAATCTGGTTCCCCAATACTCGACTCAAAGTGAAACATTCTACCCTTTCCCTTACACTTATTTTTCGTTAAAATTTTTTTTTTTCTTGCTGTATGGAAGCCGAAAATTTGGATGTAGTTAGATTTGTTAATATGCAGTATAGCATAGAGGTTAAGCTTATAGGTCAGTCTGGCTTAATTCTCACTCCACCACTTAGTTATGTGATCTTGGGAAAATAACTTATATTCTCTATCCCCTTGTTCCTTTTTTGATCAAATGAGAATAATAATAGTACTTATCTCATAGGGTTGTTATGAAGCTTAAATAAGGTAATATATGTAAAGTGCATGGGAAGGTCCCTGGCTCCTATTAAGCACTTAATAAGTGTAATATATTATCATTATTATTTAAATGAGATGGCTGCTATTTGCCATTACCTCTGTATGAAATTACTGAAGCACTGTTACATTGCTCTTTTCGGTTCAAATATTCTTGCTTATCTCTCTTACATTTAGTTTCTAGATCTTTGCTATTCACTGTGTGGTCCTTATCCTAGTAGTGTTGGCATCACTGGGAGCTTGTTAGAAATGTAATTCCAGGCCCCACTTGGGACTTCCTGGATCAGGATCTACGCTGTAACAAGATCCCCAGGTGATTTCTATCTACGTTAATGTAATGTTTGATACACTCTGGCACAGATGACTTTCAGAATAATTTTAAATCTTTCCACAAATAAATCCTAGTGAGATTTTGATTAGAATTGAAAAAATTTAAATAATGTTCTTGGGAAAACTGACAGCTTTAAATATTTTATCATCCAATCCAGGAACATGATGTGTTTCTCTCCATTTAAGTCTCCCCAGTCCCTTCAGTTTTCCTTAAATAAGCCTCGCAAATTTATTGGCATGTTTGTTGCTTTTATTGTTATTGTGTATAGTTTTTTTTTTCCCCATCGTATTTCATTTTTTTTAAAATAGGAAGTCGCTTACAAATTCAGAAAACGGTGATAGCAAACATGTATCAGACATATCCACCATCAGAATGAACACATATTAGCATTTTGTCACATTTCTTCTACTTCTTGTTTTTTAACTTAAAAGAAATAAAACCTTAAAGATAAAGTTGAAGTTCCCTTCATTTTCCTTTCTGATCCCATTCTCCTTGCTCCCCAGGAGCAACCACTAGCTTATATTTAGTGTGAATATTCCAGACAATATTATTATACTTTTACTATATATATGAATGTCTATAAAAAACATGTAGTATTGTTTTGTATATTTATGATTTTATATAAATGGTAGACATTTTATATTATTCTGTAATTTTATTTATTGATCAGTAGGTTTTTTGAGACCCCTCAATTCATGACTTAGATGTTTAATTCATTTATTTAGTTGTAAACTTAGTGTTCATGACATATATCTGTCTTTCAAGGTGAAAATATTAATAGAACTTGACAACTTTTCTGTGCCTTAGAAATAGTTTTTGGAAAGTTTAGGGTTCGAGATCAGGGTTTGTGCCTGTATGTTTTTGTTTTACCTATAATAAAACGTGGCATGATAAATGGAAATTTCATCTCAGTAATTCA